AAATACCGATTCTTCGATGCTTTGATTTTCACCATATTAGCCCTCAGTCGCAACAAACTTGCTCTGCCCGTGCTGAAGCGCCTTTATCCCAATGGAAAAGAACTTTTCATATTGTGACTCTAAAAACGCTTCAATGACGTCTGTCGTTAAGAAAATATTTACCAACTAAACCATTTTTAAGTTTGGAAATTGGTGGGCGCCACATCTGGTGAATAGGGTGGATGCGAGAGAGAAGTTCGAAGCCGCAATCATATTCTTTTCAACGTATTGGAAGGGGTGTAAGCTGGATCGCTATCACTGTGGATAATGACTACGTTCGTCATCACTCCTGACCTTCTTTCTCACACTTTTTTGTCTGAGACCTTTCAGTAGCTCACACAAATCCCTTTCGGTAATGGTCTGACTTCTTTCAAAGAAACCAATCATCACCACATCTCGGGAATCCCAGCAAATAGGTGCTATCGCTTTGCTAACTGACGGTGTAACCTCGACCTTCTTTGGCGTAGGAGATGATGCACGCTTCCATTGCGTTGATTGTTCTTTTCATTCTGGTTGAAACTGGTGGAGAACGTGCAAGCAAATTCTCGGCATCTGCCTCAAACAGTTCTAACTTGTTTTTTGACGTCGCATGCCAAATGCACCTCTGCACGAAAGTCAATAGACGTGTCATCCATCTAGCGGTAACTTTTCAGTTGCTTAACTCCTTCGTCAGGATATTATCTGCTCTCATCTGTGAGATTCCCAAACTCTATGCTAGCTGACCAGTTGTTAGTCGACGATCTTGCGTGGTCATATGCACTGCCAGGTCAAGATTTTCTTTGATGGTGGCTTTGATGGTCTCCCTGCCATAGCCTCATCTTAAATACTCTTCCTGCCGCACTTGAATTCTTGCACCCAACGTTTAACTGTGGCATATGAACAGGCATTGTCATTTAATTTATTAAGCATAGCTTGTTGCATTTCAGATAGTGACTTTCCTTTGAGATAGAAATATGTGATCACTGTACGACACTTCAGTTTCTCTATTTTTGCCAAATTGCAGACCATGTTCAATTCATGAATCTTCTGCATTGAAGTAAAAGAACTTGTAATGTATGAATTTGTATAATATGAATAAGGAAAAGTAATCGATTATAAAACTCTCTTTAACTTGCCTTGCTATCTGAATTCTATTCCAAGCTCCAAACTTTTCATTCATTCCACATATGGCAGCTCTGTGTATACTCTTTTTGCTCCTGAATTGCTAGACTTGCTGACAAGCGGCGAGTTATATCTCCACATTTTCGAGACTATACATTCATCTGTGCTTTGCAAATGGACTGTCAATATTAATAGACTTCACCTGAATCTTTCAACTTTTGTTGCCGGTTGGATTAATTTTGCTAGCAAGCGTACCACTCGCCTGCTAGTGACAATCTCCAATCGTCATGACGTACTCGCAGTGTATTATGCACAGAAATCCGCCCCTTGGCTGTTCATTGGAGTGCATAAAACAACATGTCTCCTCCAGTCATTGCTACTGTCACGTTAAGATGGGATATTCTTCCTCGGGATCCACGTTTCATCTTATTTTCATCTTGGAACGTTTATCGAGTTATTTGTGCACTTATTAGGACTGCTGCCTTCGCGGCACTATGTGAACAATCATGGACTTTATTTACACATCGAAACGTCAAGTTAGAATGGATTCGAAATAGATGGCGACACATCGGGAATGGGTACTCTGCTTTTGTAAGTGGGTAACGGTATACGACAGTGTCACCTTCTCTTTGAAGTCGATCTTTTGGAGTCTATCCAAACAAATAGCGCTCGCTTAAATGAATCTACTTTCGGTTACCTCGCATTTTATTGTGGTAACATCGCTTGTTCGCATCGAACGAATTAACAAATCCCTGGTATATTTCGTCTAGGGTAAACATTCCATTTGACGCCATTGATCGGTTTATAAAGTACTTTGTGTTATCGTCAGACTAATCTAGATACATCGCGAACGTAGATCCGGGGATACTGTTAGATGCGGACTTCCAATCAGCTTGATGGTCGTGACTAACTGCGCAGGTGTGCTTCATATCTGCGTCCTCATCAGCTGTCAAGTGGAAACATATTGTACAATCAGTAGCAGCATATAATCGACCCCATCACACTCTAGCTAGCATTCAGCCTATTGGCTGTAACAAGACAACAACCTTCAGAATCAGCTTCTGTGAACGCAAAGAGATTGGAAATCGTACAATATACTTGGAACCGACCGAGATGACATGAGTTCGGACAGCTATGGGAGCATTTGGTTTGCGTGTTTGTTGGGCCGACTGATTGTTCCCAAACCTCTAGAAACTCACAGTGAGGTTGTTTCAAACGAACGTTGTCAACGACAGCTGCGATATGGTGCACTTTTGACGCAACTTCTCACCCCGTTACAATTCCATTAAGCACTACACAGGTTGCTGGCTTCCACGATTGACATTGGTTGCAGTACAACGCCATGTCCGGTAGTCGATTAGATCTTCACTCTCCGTTCACACTCCCATGCTAGCTATCTTTTTTCTCCAGACGTGCATTTGCACGGTTTTCCTTTTTTACACCTGTCCCTCAACTCTTTAAAGTCAAATGGAGGAATTCACCTAAATTAGGTTTCTTACAGCCTTTTCATACTACAGCAAAATTATAAATGTGTTCTAGTTATCCAGAAATACGTACTGGGGTATTACTTGATTCATAACATCTATCCATTAAAGATTACATTTAATCGAACGCTACCACGAAGTAGTCTATTGAAATCCAGAAAATATTTTACTTTTTTATGCGCTACTTTGAATGAGTAACCGTTTACGATCCTATGTTTCAAAATTTAAGTCAGCCAGAACATGAAGGTATGTAGTTATTGCATCTCCATTGATTGTATACATCCTCCCGGCAGTTAGCCAGTGGATCCTTCAGCAGGTTTGTCAATAGCTTCTCATCCCTACAGAATGTGAGTAAGCAAACTACATCCCTTCTCGTCTGTACTAACTCTGAAAATCAGCATTATTAACCCACTTCATCCTACGTGTCCTAGTAACTTTGTGACCCAACGTTTTATCGAGTATTGTCATGGAGTCACAGGTTTATCGGACACGATCTGTTCCAATCCTGCTGGCTTATCAGGTTATTGAATTACCACTTCCTTCTGCTAGCCTGCTTCCTGTGTCTACATAACACAATCCGTTCGACCATACTCTTTCGAAAATAGCTTTTTGTATTTAACTCTTCCATAGCGATGGAATCGCGCAAAGCAGTCTGGAATTCAAGGGTAGTTGATGGTATTCTGTAAGCTGTTTTCGATAGTCACTTACTGATTTGCGTGAAGACGGGAACTACCTTCTCGCTGACCATCTGATGTAGTTTTACTGCCGTGACCAACCCCACAATCGGTCCAAGTGGATAGGGCTTGCTTTCTGGTACCGGAGCACTATCGTACTATCATTTTTTTCTTCACATTCCATTCGTCAGACGTGTCCTTTGCCCACAACTATATAATTCCCCCCACCCTCCGTATTTTTGACTTCGCATAGGTTGCAGGTATATTTGAACTACAATGGCCAGATATTACGCTTAAGTAAACACGAATTACCTCGTGTACGTGACGCAACAAGACCACTCCGTTTACTTGCTTGTTGCCGTTATCGAAGGTGTGCAAGGTTTCGTGCCCACTTTAGACTGAATTGATGTGTTGTTGTCATCCAGGTTCATCTCTTCTCATCTATGAAATGCCGCACATAAAATCGGATTGCGCTTCATCTTATCGGTCACATTTGCCACACATTGATTTTTCTCCGTCACGAATTCATCTCACTCGGCATATTCTTCCCGTTGTCAGACCCGATTCCGTTTTCTCACCTCTGACGCTAGATATCCTTTCCCAGCTATTCGTTCACCACCACTGTGAACGATTGGTTGTGTCAGCCATCAACACTCCGTATGGCAGATTTTTCCGGCCATAGTTTGACATTGTTTTGCAATTTGCTTGGTATCTAACGCTTCATCATTCCTGCCCCATACTTTTTGTGATACCGGCCGTATGACCGGTGGTGAATGAATTCTGGGGTTTGCATGATGGATTGCAAATCTAACTGTCGCTGACCACCTCGGTAGACTTGATAGATTTCCTCCTAAATCATAACTCATAAATCTACTGCATCACAAATTATCCACTCCCATTGTGGATCGATAGGCGCATTTACTGTCAACGATAATACCCACTTTCTTCTCATAGTTCAATGAAATAATCGCTTTCATGAATCAACCGAATGTCCTCACGATTTCTGATTTAATTTTTGCTTTATTGGGAAGTAAGGACGTTTGCGGATACGAAGTTTACTAATGAGTAGGGCCGCACTTTCTTGTAATCTCCGAAGAAACAATTCGCAAGGTGAAACAGCCGCAACAATAGTCAGCGCGTGTGTTCTTTCAGTTTAAGCTCTGCTACCTTACTGAGACTCCAATCCATTGGTTGCTTTCACTTTACTCTCGCCTACGTTCTTGGTGGTACGATGTTGCATCACACCCTCTTTCTGTTTATAGTATGAGTTACCGTTTGCAAACAACCATCCCCTCTATTGCTTGTTATTAGTGTGTCACTTCTCCACAGGTTTACCTGTGAAATATTGACTTGCTGGAACAAAACACTTATTAGACTAGTACAGGATAGCAGTCAATACAGAGTGGCTTCCGCGGCTTAGACAGCGCTCATACTTCGGTAGCATATCGACTAACCACTGCCCGGCTACTCGGCATAGTACAGCGACCAAGGTGATTAGACTGTCATGCGAACTTCATCACCCTTCTCTAGGCATGCTCAATCTTCCATGCCACATTCCCGTGCATCTTCCATTTCCGCCAAATAGCGATTCCGTTTTCTTAACTTCATGCACAAATCTCTGGGTCACCATTACAGCCACATTTTTGTTCATGCTTTTCTCTAAGTGATTATTCACGTGCATGTTTTCTCTCGTTTCTTGAAGATTACGCATAAAGGCATCCTGTATTGCCTTACAATCGAGAACGTCAGTCTTAAGGATTCTGGCCTTTGGGAACTGGTGTGCTACAATTCCGCCGGCGTACTCATTTCTTCTAACCAGCTAGAAGTGATTTCTCCTGTGTCAGAAAAATCCGGGGGCTCTGCGCGTAGTGTAACTACAAAGCTGATGGAGTCCACCGTCTTCTTGCCTGATTCATCATCGACTCCCGCCGACGCTTCAATGGCCCTGGCATCTTCCACATCGTCTACTACGTTGAGTGAACGGAAGGCTCTTGTCTCACATCCCATTTCTGTAGACACTGGTGGCACTCAACCTCCTGAGTTCAAATCAGTATTCACAGATATAACGTGCCGAACTGGTGACACCGTTAGACTAACGGCGCGTTTAACCGGCAGTCCGAGTCCACTAGTAAGTTGAATGTAGCTCAGTATCCATCTACGTAATCAACTTTTCATGTACTTAGTGATTTACCTGCGACACTCTTTGCGAGCTCCCTACGGTTCCACTCTGTGTAGTGCACTTGTACAGACATTAACCTGCTTTGTCCTTTATTCCTATCTACAAGGCTATGCACCTCTTCTGGTTACAACGGAGCATGATTAACCAACCTCGTTTTTGAGCAACATAACATCACTTTTTCACTGGTAAAACGCTACCCCTCAACAATTCCCACATGATGTCGTGTCGAGAAACCCAAGCTGAAAAACTTGCGATACAGACATATTAGATCGCACATTGGTAAATCCACATGAGCACGCAAAAGTTTCTACACTTTCATCGATTTTGGAGGAGGCTAGATGAGTCTAGCGCTCGTTTGTGTTACACGGTCTGTTGTTAGGCATAGATTTTATCGCGTAGTTTGAATGGCGCCGAAATGAAATAGACTGAAAGAAAAGTACACGGGACTGGCTGTACTGTACGGCCAACTTTTGCTGGTAGTGCCTCAGGTTGGCGTGTTGGTTAAGTTTCGCATAATGACTTGGTTGTTTCCGAATCTGATACATTATTACGAGGTCACATCGCAGACACTAGTATCTCATACATTTAGCCCCATGTTTGCAGTCTAGATAAGGTATTCCGCAGGAGTCGTCACCCTATTCTGTGAACCTTGGCAAGCGACCGATATGGTTTTTCCCCTTTTCAGCACATTTACAAATTGCGTCAAGCAGCCGAAGACGTCCTGAACCAATACCCCAAAGTCGTGTTTCTGTGACACTTTCTAGAGTATGTGTTCCTCAAACACATATGTGTCCTTTGACTTGTGACGCATTTGAGCCACTGCGTATATACGCTTTAAATGAAAGCGTATTCTTCTTTGCCCATTTTTATGCGTTGTACAGTTCTCACTTAAGTAGGTCATGACTCTGTCTATCGACCACTAGCGACACCTTGACGTTACCGGTCAAACTTTTGAAAGCAGCAGCAAACGTGTGACAATATTACTGGTCACCACCTATGAGTGTGTCTCCAACAATGCATATAAATGGAATCTAACAGTGAGCCCCGATCTCGCGCTGTTGCCTATCCATCCAGGGTCAGCCTTAGGGTATGTGCAGTAGGATCTGGCGATCCAGGAGATTACATTTCGCTTTCGAGGCGAGAGCCCCTCCAGGACTAGTGCATCTAAAGGGTGCCTTTAGTGTAGTATACAAGGTTCCATCGCACCGCCTTCGTATACTTGCGACAACCGAAGCAATTGCATTCGACTATTTCAACAGTCCTTATGCTTGCAAAAAAAAATCTAGCCATGCTTTTCTGCTTCCCTGGCTCGCGAAAACGGAGGATACTGTGATCAGCAGTTTGAGGTCAAACTCCGTAACACCTAATTAACCCGTTTCCATTTTTCCTCCATGTCACTTATACTAACTGGGTTGCTTTTACTCTTTTTTAACCGTATGATTGATGAATGATTAAAAGCACTTACTCACCAAACGGTCTCGTTGTCTTCGTTAACTACTAAATTCAGTAACGCCTTATAGCATGGGTAAGAAAAATTCACAAAAGGCAATATATATATATATATATATATATATATATATATATGTCGTGCCAATTTTGCATGCTTATTTTCCTTCAAATTCTATGCTGATTGCTTGATATCGCCGATGGGACTGCGCTTGATGTACATGTTGATAAGCTGCCTAGCTGTGTAACATCCTCTATCTCGTCTATGCTTCTTCCTGAAGACTGCTAGTAGTTGCTGGGTGAAGGAGGTGGTCTTCATGTTCGTGCTAGGCTCTAAGTGTGGTTCCATCCAGTGTTGTGCGGACTACGGTCCAGCCACCGCCTTAGATACGTCTGGTACGCACGATTCCCCACATCAATAGACAAGAATGCTACCACTCTGCTTTTTTAATTAGTGTGGACCGGCTCGGTTGATGTACCGTGGCTCCCATCCACATGCCTCCCAGTGTTATTCCTTCGGGTTTACACTGGATATGAGGTGTGTTTGTTTGCAACTGTTGGTGGTGCAACGCAAGCCTTCCTGTTCCCTATGTAGGCGCAGGCGTCCTGTGGTTGTCCCCGTGGAGGCGGCATTGGCAGACATATCCTCAACCGGAATCTGTTGACCATATATATTATCAGCAGTCGTGGAAGTGGACATACAACCACTGAGTAACACTGAAATCTAAGGGCAATACAATTTGATCAGTATGAGAAGTCAACATTTTTTTTATTTTTCACATCTTTTATTACTTTCTCATCTTCAGTTTTTGAGTTATTAAGCATATGAATCAGTACAATTCTGTTCACAGTTTTTCGCTCGTTCCGTTCGCGAGCCTTGTCTTCAAAAGCGTCAAACCATTGGCACTCCTCATCCCTGGGTCCCCATTCTTGAAGGCGTACGGTTATAACAACGGCTAGACGTGTCGTCAATCATTTCATGTACTTTTGCCATGTGGACGGCTGACTACCGCGCGGTCCTAGGCGAGCGAGTAGAGCACGGAACGGCAAACGCTCAGGCGCCATGCGTAGGACGTGACCAAGTCATCTCAACTGGCTCAGCAAAACCAATTTGCTGTAGGGACTACTCACATTCCCCAAGACACGAGGTCGAACGTCATCACTGCGAACTCGACGTAACTATCATACACGAAAGATCCTCCTCAAACAACCGTTGTCGAAAGTAAAAAGACGACGCATGTCATCCACTCTTACTGGCCAGGACTTAATCCCATACGATAATACTGAATGAACAGATGCACTTTAAACGCTGCTCTTAATCGAGATGGAACAGTCCCGACGTTGCCACGAGGGCCTAAGTTATACAAATGATGATCGGATTTAACGAAGCCTGCAGCAGAACCACAGCTCCTTAGATAAATGAAACTATCTACCTGTTCAACTTGTGCACCTTCAAGAGTCATCACGGGAACCAGTGTGGGCCAATCCTGGAGCAGTACTACACTCCGAGGGGGAGAAACTTGTTCCGTACCTCGATGCTTCAGCCGCCAAAAGATTTGGGGTGGTCTTATTACTCTGTGCATCGTCACCAAGTAATGCCATGTCATCAGCATAGGCTAAGTCAGGCGCTCGCTGACCCGGTAGTGGCTTTTGGAAACATTCAGCGCTCTCGACAGGGCGTTTAGATTTCAAAATTATAGAGGAACAGGAACATTGGGCATCCCTGTTGCACACCGCTGTCGAAAGCGAAGGGCGAGGAAAGCTTACCGTTGACCCTCACTCTGCCGTAGATACGAAGGTACAGTGCAGATGCGATGGCAATGTACCTCTCTGGCACCGCTTTCTTTAACAAGCAACGCCATAAGGCAGATCGATCCGCCTAGGCAAATGCAACCCGTATGCCTAAGAATGCAACGATGGTGAGCCTGTGGTAAATGTGCCGGTGTTTGAGGAGTTGAGATGAAGGTTTGATCCACGACCGGGATGGAAATTGGCTTGTTCACAGTAGTATGGTTCAGCTATTGAGGATAGTATACAAAGCAGTATAGCTCCCAAGACTTGAAGGCAATAGAAATGACACTAATCCCTCCATGGTTTGCACATTTAATACGAGCACCTTTCTTGAAAACTGGGACAGCAACTGATTCGCTTCAACAGGAAGGCATTTTCTCTTCATGCCAGATTTTTGCGAACATCAAAGTCAGCTGGTTACTGATCGCCACGCCGCCGTACCTGAACAGTTCCGGAGGAAGTCCGTCTGAGCCGACAGCTTTGAATGACTTCAAACGTCGGATCTCAAGGCAGGATTCCGTTTTACTGGGTGCATCCATTGGAACTAACCATGGTGGGCTACAAGGTGTGCTGGCGATGGAGGCCAGTTGAATTGCATAATTGTTCATCCCAGCAATCCAAACGTCTCTATAGCTTGGTGTTCGGAGATCCGTGCGGCTCGCAGATAATCTCACTTATACCAGGCTTCCTGAGGCCAGTGGACCAACTGAGTTGGCGAACTTTGCAAGTGTTGATGAAGATGGCAGCGGTCTCCATCTCCAAAACACGCTCAGACCACCATGCCTCACAATCCTTGCGCAGTCTTTCCTTGAGCTGCCGGTTAGCAGACTGGCGCCGCTCGTTGTAATCTGCTTCCGCCGGGATGTCTTTGCAGCGACCAACAGCTGCAGTGAACGAGCAGAGATTCAAGCCTTTTATGGGCATCTGGTTAGGCCGCACCTTGATTGTACCGCAGTGATCACGGCCTTCTGAGTGCAAATGCAGTCTTGTTCCATATCTTGCGGCGGGTTACAGCTGTGCTCGTCTGCCAACGATGTTTACTAATTCGCCTGAACCGAGTAATAAGTTAATATGTTTGAATGGATCTAACGTTGTTTCGTGTTGTGCCGGCACAATATATATATATATATATATATATATATATATATATGCTTTCTTGTATGTCGCCTTTTATGGGAGCATATTGTTCACTGCCTTGAACAAGAGTTCTGAACGTAGTCCGTTACTAAGCAGATCAAATTTTGGCATTGTCATTGCCGGTATTTGCTTAAATTAAAGTAGCAATCTCATTGTCCGCGAGCTCTACTCCGTAATTTATTAATCTACACGGCCTTGCGATGGATTTCGCTATGACACGCCGAGGTAGCAAGTTATTGCTGCATCCTAGACACTGCGCGAAATAGATTTTGGTCACCGTTACCCTTCGATATTCTTCCAATCTGCAACTGGATTGTTTCTATCCGCTCCACAAAATGTCCGCGAATGACGCAGACCGAACAAGATCCACTCTGGAAACGATCCGCTTACAAAAAGACTGCTTCCACCTCATAGATAGAATTCAACACAAATTGCGGAATGCTAATTTTACCCCAATGCTTGGGTTTCGGATAAATGGTGACCCGCTTCAGCTTGGTGTCTGAGCCGAATATACAAATGTTACAGACGGTGTCCTATTTGTTCACGTCCTCCAGTAGTCTTCTGTCGATTCAGCACTGATTGTGTACCTTACAAGCAGAATTGTGCACTGTCTATTAACACTGCTCCGCACAGCATAAGTTGTAGTTGATTGACCCTACCTTCTGCAGCACATACTCGATGGTGCCTGCGAAATCTGGACTTTGACTTCGGATCCAAGAGAGGTAATTTCGGACCTTTATTTTTTCGATGTGTTTTGGTAGCAGCCACAATTCAACTTCTACTCCATACTTGCTTGTTTCGTCGATTTTGTTTTACTTTTAGAAAGTAGACCCATCCTAGACCAGTGCACCCAATTTAATGGCGTTCTGACTAAGCCAGATAGGACACCCCTACAATGGTCCGAAATTGGCGCTGTGCCGTGAACACCGGAAAAATAACTGGACTCTTTGAGAAATCTCAGCCAAACGTCCAGAAGACGAGTGCATCCAAGGTGCATACTAGTTACATTGATTTAAACCTCGATAATTTAGCAGCATTGTCAACTAGCCCCAAAACCGTCCTTTTTTGCTTCACTGAGACACCCTCTACACAACGAACGGACAAAGGTTATCCTATTCCTGACAACAGCACTCCCATTAAATTGAACTCCTCATGCATAATTAGTAGAGGAAAGTCTAAGTGCTTTTCACCAACCACCATTAAACTCGGAGGGCCTGATATACCATTGCTCCTGATGAGCATGTTTACTCTGTCGCTGCAATCTGGCCACTTTTCAGACCAATGGAAAACGTCATTTATTATGCCTCGGCATGAAGGAGGTCTCAAACAAACAATTGATAACTACCCACCAATCCACCACACTCAGCTAATCGTTCGGTTATTTGTAAGGCTGGTCAGAATGGGGATGATGAACTTTGTTGGTTCTATTGGCCTGATCAGTAATTCGCAGCATGGTTTTCTCAGTAAGCGATCGGGCACCACCTGTCAACTGCATTACCTAAATCACATTTCAGAATTAACCGATTCCGGCTATTCATTAGTAATCCTGTTTCTTGACATACACCAAGCATTCGACCGAGTATCGCCCAAGCGACTGTTGCGAAAGTTGGAGGACTTTGGGATCCGGGACCAAATACTAGCTTGGCTAACCTCATACCTGAGTGGTCGTCATCAGGTAGTCACTAGGTGATTAACGCTGTTCTCCACGCTTAATTACCAGTGGGACCATTCCAAAGAGCGTGCTCGGTCCCTCACTCTTTTTGCTCTACATCAATGACATCACCACATCTGCACAACATGGTACGCCATTTTTATTTGTTGACGATACCAAACTAGTCTATAAGTTTCGGCATGACGAGCTTCATGGGACACTACTGCTTATTCAAGATGGCTTACATTCCCTTGAGTCATAGTGCTACACACGGGTGATGAACCTCACGGCTAAGAAATCAGACATCATATCTTACGGCTGCATTATCTCCGAAGGATCTATCAGCCTAAACAATGAACGCGTCCCTACACAGGTGTCCACGCAAGATCTTGAAATTAGGTACTCCTCTACCTACAGTTTCTCCGAACAGGCCCAATACCAAGTAGCTCGTGCCAGACAGTCTATGTTCAATATATCAAACAAAATACACAACTCGTGCTAGAGTTGAGCTTTTCAAGCTACTCACTCACCCCATCCTCGAATACTGCAGCATAATATACGGCAATATGAGAAAGAGTGACAGAATTGCTGTGTAGCATCTGCAGAGTTCATTTACTAAACATCTGATTGGTAAACACTCTGCTATGAGTTATCGAGAACGTTGCAATGAACTTCATCTTGAACCACCTAGGATTCGACCATTGAAGCGCAACTTGTTGCTGCTTTTTAACGTGCTACACAAAAAGACCCATTCTGACCTGCCTACACTCAAGTTACAACATTTCTCAACTCGCACGCTTCGCAACAAAGTTTTTACACTGAATATACCGAAGGCTAGAGCGGACGCCCGCTCTTCCTGTTCAAATAGTTATCTGTGGAATAAATTACCAGTAACATTCAGGTCATTTGACCTTGTGGCAACAGTTAGAAGCAGACTCGTTGATCTAACTACCATAATCTCTACATTCTTATGGAAAAACTCTTCGATGAGCTATTGCAGGAGGGATCCAAAAACACCAATATTTTCATAACTAGGCTTTGGCCTCAACCATCCGCCAAAATGTTAATACATGAAACGCGTATCCCAATACTCCACCCGTGCATGTCATCCATGCAAGAGCATGGATATTTCTGTGTCGCTATAGACAAGTTTCTCACATCAAGAGAAATATACTTATTATTATAGGCTTTAGGTGTTATTTTTCTACTGCGACGCAGACGATTTGTTAAGATATATCGTACTAGTAGTTGCAAGCGTTGCTTTACCGATGAAATTCCCGGCCTTCTTTCTCAGGTCAGAAGTTGAACCCGTTGACCGGGCCTGGTTAATACGTGCTATGCTAGTTCCTAAAGTGGTGCTTTTGGGATTCACGACATAACTATTTCTTCCAGTTTTTTATCCTCCTGAGATAGTGTAGGTGCACCCTTAACTAATGGGGAGATCTTACAGGCTGCACGGAACCAGATGGAACCAGATTTTTCATGCTAGACTGGCATATTCAGGATTAAATTACATAGAGGATTTAGAGCACGAAGTTTCTATCTTTGCTGCAGTTTTTCGGGTAACAGACGGCTTTGGTGTAAACCATCCTAGGCATGCACTTTTTCGATACCGTGCTACGTCCCACTGCGACTTCGTCGCTGATTTTTTGGATAAACAAATATATATGTTTGATTCAGAGTCCTTTTGAAGTGCTTGTGTTAATGGATTGCGACGCGCAATCTCAATGTGGAATTTGACCAATTCGATCACTAGGACCGTAATCTAATCGTGTGGAAATTGTGTGTTGCCTGCCTCGAAAATACTGCACACCATTACGCGTTTCGACTCCATTTGCTCTCATCATGTAGAGATAGCAGGCCACGAACCCGGGACCGTTTGGATACTAGATGGGACCTCTAGCCCTTTAGCCACCGGGTCACGACTAGCGACACTTGGCAAGACCTTAACAAAGACTGGTTGCATAGTCACTTTGAATTATTCGTTCGGTATAGGATTGTGACGCGCATTCTCAATATGGACCATGATTCCTGCTGAAGCGAACCTTGGCCAATTTGATCAGTAATGTATATAACCAAGAGTTAGATAGGTCAGCGTCACTCAAGGACACGGTTTTCAGTTTCCAAGCGGTTCGAAAACACCGTCATCCTCGTGATCAGCAACCGAATTCGATTCGCTCCCCGATTGTTTTTCTGTTATCATTGAATACCAAATTGTATACTCCAGTGGATACAGGTGCGTGTTGATAGGGATGCGAAGAAAAATACTTATTACATAGCTACCATCGTGCATATCAACTGGGCATTTGCCAACTCCTCTACATTTTGGAGGTGTAAGCTTTTCAGGAGGTTGAATTTAAGTCTGAGGAATCCACTTTCCTCTGTTCTCCCGTTTCCGTTGCCAACATGCTGTTTGTGGTAATGAGTATAATCAAATAATCACATAAGAATGAATAGATAGTATGTAAGTCTCCTCTTTTCAAATTCCATGTGTGCATGAGATATTACGAATGACGAATTCAAAGAAGACTTGGTTGGCCTGGAGCGAGTTTCTTTGTTTTGTAGCCTACCAGATGGCCCACTGCAATAGTGGTTCGAAATGTTCTGACTTGACGCACTTGTCACCTCGGTGACATTCCTGTACTTAGTAATTGCATGTAGCGTATGTTCTTGCCATTCGAGAACGCTACATCATCGTTTTGGTCCGCTTTGTAGTGTCGGGACCAGTGACCGACCTCACTCTGTGTCTCTTCTCCATTTGTGACCCGAGGCCTTTGCTATGCCACATGAATTCTCATGCAACTTATTCGTACCGGTTTGGCGCTTACCACTTCAACTAGTAGGCGATCATCATTGAAAGCTTGCAATCGAACAGTAATGTTCGCATTCGTATGCTTTTATTTATTCGACGGATTCCAAAGAGATTCAGTCACACAGCGTTACAGTCACTTCAGGGTTGATAACATGAAGATTACGATATTGCAAATGGTCGTCGAACCACTCAAGCGGTCACAGAAAACAACACACCGACTACAGTGTTAACACCTTTTGCTGTCTAGTCCATTTGAGCTCCGTTCATCTAGGAAATTTGCGCAGTCTACTAACTTCCGTTTGCCCTTACAGTGGCTGCCACATATGTCGTATTGCCACTGATTTCTCTTGTCATTATTGTCACTGGTCTCTGCATATGGGTTCTATTGCCACACTATTATCGATTCACGTCGCTATGGCTATTGACCATGACATTTTTTGGCTAATTTTTGTCGTCCGTCAAGGTTTGCTGGGCATTCAACGGGGAGTCGATACAAAACACAAACGACCGTTACAGAGTGTTGCACCATGGTGAAGTCTATTCGTTGTGGATTGAAGACGTCCGCGTTACTGATTCCGGGCGATATTCCTTAACAGCGGAGAATATTGTAGGCTTGGCTACGTGTTCGGCTCTGTTGTTCGTGAGTGCTGGTTCCATCAACAGGTAAGCAAAAAGTTAGGTTCTGAAAACGGTCAGACATGTGTTATCCATTCAGAATAATTAAAACCCTGCAACACTGCTCTGCTTCATGATTTTTTCCTATTGTCACTGCGTCTTAAAATCATGCAAGGGCACTGAGACGTCTTAAATTCTCTGCTGCTTCTTAGGGCTAGTTAATTAAATAAGGTAGGTGATTTTTAACATTTTTTCATCTTCGAAACTACTTTCATAAACTTTGTACCTGGGGGCGAACGCAGCTCCATCTTAATCATCCTGGCATGTATGGGAACATTGTACAGGTTCCTTTCTAATGTGAAAACACACAAAACCTCTTGTTCCTTCGTTATGCTATAGCTTCTTTACAATCACACATTCCGTTCCGGGGTTAGTGTAGAAAACGATCGCTGTCGAGAGTGTGCCGGATGATGGTTACACCTCGTTGCACCTCGTAGCAGCGCACCGCATCCATTTCTGCAGCGCCTTCAGGCCCTGCTCAAACGATCAGCAGAATTCGTAAATCAGCGGATGTTAGGACAGAGCAACTCACATTCTGTAGATCTCAACAAATCTTGCTTAATTTCAAATGGCCTCTGCGAGCTAGTTTGGCATTGGCAGTCTAAATAGGTGGTATCTTATGCGTTTGGGTGTGTTTCTTGCACCAGATTCCATTTACTTTGTTGCCATTGGACCCACTAGTGACAGTGATGGTGATCACATCCACATGATAGTAGGCGATTTTGCTCCCTGGTGCCAGTCCACAAATTTCCCATCTCCACCATCAACGTGTGCACGCATGGGGGTTTGGCACTCAAAGTAAGCATACAGAGCTGATGTAGTTGTTTTTAATACGGTTTCAACTCCCGACTGTGGTATACGTCTATATGTCAAAGTGCCTACCGTATTCAAAGGCGACGGTGAGATCCTTGTACTTTATCCACCGTATTGCTGTGTATGTCGGGGGGTCTTCGGTGCTCATGGCTGCAGTCTAGCGAAGCTTTAATGAGAATTCTAGTTTCCCAAGTTGCCTTTGCTTTGGTACTTGATTCGGAGGTGGAACTCGACTAGCCTTTATAACACCCGTTCATTTAGCAATCCTAAATGAATTGATCTTTAACATCCTCACGATGTATTTTGCTATCTAACCATTCCGTTTTATTATTGTTACCTTCGGAATTGTTATGGAAGTTGAATCCGAACACCGTTTATGTGAATTCTTCACTAAACCGCTGCTGCGTCATTCGGTCCGTTCTCACGTTCGTTGCCGGGCTGACAGCTTTCACACGTGTTTGCATTAATAGTGAGCTAAGTCACCCTCATACTTTAAAAATGCTCGAGCGGGAAAGCAAAAAACGAGAAAGAATATGCATCGATGCTGGTTTTGTTAACTCACTTTAAAACGGTAACTCACGAGCATGGATTTTCTCATCGCAGGCTTCTTAGTTTTCATTCTTTTGAATCATATGATTATCTGTAGGCCGTACAGCCCACTGAGTGATCCAGGATTTTGTATCCACTCGGCGGATGGTGCTGCGGATGGTTTCGCACCCGAACGACGACTTCTACGTCAACACTCTGGCACCCAAACACCAACTCATCAGCGAGTCGCACTCATTCGATCAATAAGCACGTCACATCTGGACGATGAGTTTTTTGAACTGGCTTACCCTTACTCAGATTACGCCCATTGCCATCGGTGTTCAAGGCGAAAGCGATACGTATGCAATCATCAACCAATTGAACAACCACGGATAAAGGTAGGAGAAACTATTGTCCTTACTCCCCACAGGACCATGCAGCTATAAGAAGCAACCTCTACAACGCCATTTCTATCTGAACTCTTCCAAATTATATACAGTTTCACTTTTCAATGATTTTTAATTCGTGCAAAATCAGAATTCGATGGATTTAAAAAATAAATTGCTTTAAGCCGTATTTACGAATGTTATCGACACTTTGCTACCTCGCACCGGAAATCTCTGTCGTATGTTGTCAGTTCTAATCACCTTGTTGAATTATCGATATCTCCCGAAAAGCTCACTTTTTCCTAGCCGTCGGGCGTAACCACAAAACGGTGCTCTTCACTCTCTGTTTATTTGGTTCTCACACTTAATGCGCGCGGACGCGTATGATCCAGCTTTCTCTGGCCATTAATTTTATGCATTGGTCACTTTAATGCATGATCTGCAAACTCACGATCTGCTACAACAATTACAACCCGATCAATCTCCTATTTCATGGTCCACCTTTGCCTAACAGCTCGTGTTATAGTTAGGTCTGCCACGAACGCGGGGCTGATAGCTACTCAGATGGCTGATTTCGCCAAATATTGAAGTCAGTGCGTTAGCAGGGTTCAACAGATACTGCTAGTTTGAATTATGTGCCACAGGATCGACTTTCTTAAGCTAGTACGCATGTTTCATTGTCTGTCATACACTGCATCACTGTCAAATCGTAATTCAATTGTTTTGCTTCTCTTCAACTTTACTCTTGCTAGATTTGACACTACTTCCTAAGTAGTTATCGGATTGGTCAGGGACTAGTAGCCGGTCACACTCGTTCCACTCGAAGTTGACTACCATGAAGTGACCGTTGGGTTGTTTCCGCTCAAAAACTATTAGTGGCCATTAGAAGCGACAAGTTAGGAGACATAAACGCGACTCGATTGGCGTGCAGCGCGAGCGCCGTGGGCTGTCAGCGATAAATGAATATGTACGTTGCTCAGTAGTTTTCCACCACGCAACGACGACCAGCATCATTTAATCACGAAAAATCGGCCTGTGATTGAACTTGGCCACAGATGCGTCGTCTAAACTTGTCTGGCTAAGTAAGCAATTGACCACCTCTGTGTCCTGACAACCTCTCTAATTTGACCATTTTTCATAGCTTGAGTGTACACCATGTAAACCTTATGGAATCAGACCTATTTAATTTGTATGTTGACTACTCGAGCTCAAACAATCACGGTAACTCTAACCTCTATGGCTTGACCATGTGAAGGTTTACTGTGTAATGGTCACTGAACAACTCGTTTGTTCAAAAATTAATCTATTTGTAGCGGGATTTTGCAATCTGTGTAATTCACCGGATCCACAATAATTGCACTTTACGGCTCCCCAGTGGTTTGACTATACAATTTGTTTTCCGTACAATGTGTCCACGAATTGAGCTTGATCGTTTTTGTGTGAACTTCTCAGTCCTTGCACATACACTAGCTTACATGCACATCACCCTTTGGGAGATATGCCCATGCATTACAAAGGTCGCAATTAGGATTTGGAGAGCCTGTCTAACCCTCGGCTAACCAGTTGTAAGTTACCCTGTTCATTTACGTTTGTGATATGAGAAGGGTGAAAACAAAGATGGTCTTCAACAAAGATTTAACTTTGAGCAAACCACACTACTTTTTAACTTATAATGATACTGTATGATTTAGCCGGGCTTAATGTTATTTGAGAGCTCGTCTATCATATTCGGACCAAGATGTACGCGTGTGCTACTCACAACGGGAAAGTAAGGCATACTATTATTTTGTATAGTACCTTAATCTGCATATCACTGATGTTGACCACTTTGGCCTATAGTCCCTTAAATGCTCAACCTAACTAGATTTTACTATGTTTTACATTTACTAAAGGGGTTTTTCTTCGACGTCGGATATGTCTTAATGGGATTCTTCTGTAGCAAACCGCATCATATGAACATGCTGTAACTATATACTTCACATTTTTAGTCAACATTCTCAGTCGGCTCTACCAGTTAACCTTCATTTCTCCCTCTGCCTCTTAGGTCAGCAATTTCAGTGACCACTTTTCGCTGTATCTTCATCCATGAAATTCTCTGCTCAAACATCGAACAAACCTGTTTTATGCTAATGTCCATTTTCATGATGCATTCGTGAATACTCTGTTTTCTACAAATACGAGGAGAAATCGTGCACCAATGCGAGGTAGCGTAGTTGGTTTGCCGTACGCAGTCCGATGGGGCGTTACTCTGTTCGACTACCACAGGAGGCACTATTCTTTCTACATATTTTTGCCCAGTATCATGTTACCGACTTCGGTTATCGCTTTGCGCAACTCACGACCATAGTGAATGGTTCTGCCGCTCGTTCCACAGCATATCCAATGATTTATTGCTGGAAACCACAGCATTGTCAGTTGACGGAGACTATAAACAGTTGAGATTTAGTTCTCTTACTACTTTGCCTATGTGCTGCTTTCGCAGAAACATGTACCATTGAGGGGTACGATGCGGCAAAACAGCCTTACTGCCAGTGATGCCAAGGGTTAGTAGTTTATTCCTGGATGTGGTTGATCAAATTCACCGCTTCGGCACTCGTTTTTGGTGTTCCAACGCAGGTTTTTGTGGTGTTCACTATACTAAAATCGATACTTTTGCAGGTTATTGTTTTTTCTCTCTGCATCAGTTTTTGCACCAAAAACGTTTAATAGCTGCGATTACTATCTTGTATCCGAGCCTAAGAAAAGAAAGTTGGTGAGCTAACTTACCGGTGGCACTAAACTAGGATTTTTCTCATTGGCACCTTTCCGGCCAAGAGTCTCGTTTTCCGCCTCCTCGTTTCTATGTTACCATAACGAGTCACTTTTTCCGGCATACAAGATCATCTTGGATATCACTTGACAGTTTCTGTTCTTCAACATTCTGTGGGCAAGAGTACGTCTAGCTACGTTGCTTACTCATTCCTAGAGCGCTGGAAGCAATGTCACGGGCAAACGACACAGAGGCGTACACGGGCGCATCCGTGGTCGTATCAGTGGGTTGAGCGGAACTGAAAGGTGAGTGAACAATTGGCCGGCTACAATTCAAACACGTTACTTGAATATTAATTAATGCTCCAAGCACAGCCACAGTTTGGGTTGACTTATTAAGCACCACTCATTTCTATTGTCTAAATGTGTGTTAAATGAGGATGATAGCAGAACCTGCGTGACCGGTTATCCTTTTCGATTAACGATCTTTAGATTGTAGAAGTTGGGCTGCACTCCACGATCGACGGTTTCATTTTGGCTTGGACTCATTGTAATGGCAGAATCATTTCAAATCCAATCGAGCCACAATTTAGATTGCGTGTCGCAATCCAAAACACATGGCAGGTGCTCTAAAACCCGAAAATCAACTTTGGCTGTTTCTTGTTCTGGGTTGTTTTCCTACATCTCATCGTTGTACTCAGCATGGTTAGTTCACTTTCCAGTGTGGCACGTTTTCACCCACAATTTTTTCAGGCACTATTTGTAGAGTAACCCTCCGGAGATCAAAAAGACGGGTCCGCGATCGTTAAGTCTTTTATTAAGATTACGTTTACATATTTAGGGTATGTAAACTATTTTCGACAGTCCGCTCCAATGACTAACCCTTGTTTTTCCCGAGTTTTCGCTTCTTCGCTTGTGCTTCTGGAACCTCCACACCCAGTGGATGTTTGCTGGATGTACTTGCAGAGCTAGATGCGGGTGTGCGCCGACCATTCGCTGCTCGATTGACCAATCTGCTTCCGATGACATGCTCATTTTCCTTCGGTCTAATTTGCATCTGTCTGGTACTCCGCGAAATGCCGAGTGGCGTTCGATTGGCCATCTGCTTATCGGTACCGTAGCGTTCCCACTCACCAGCGGTTTCAGCCCGCATCCCACAATTGTTTTGATGACTCCTGGTGCCAAGGTCAGCATCTAAGTCGTATCCGGGCATGATGGCTATTCGCGATGCACTGCACGACTACCCAGCTTTTGCCCGGATGACCATCGTCGCAAAAGCGACCTATACTTTGGGCGTACACTTTTTAGTTGTATGTTACTGATACAAATTCTTTGTAAGTTATTATAACTCATCCTAGTGTTTCGACTGTTAGACCGAACGGATGAACGTCCGTTGCAGATAGAGTGCCCCATGGGTATGGAGTCACCAATGGAATTCGTAACGTTGCGGACTAACGTGACCTAGCCGCCAGACGTACACGCGAGCTAACACTGGGGACGAATACGCGCACCCTAGCACGACTGCACTGTGACTTGAAGGAGAAAGAAGACTGGTCGTTAGCAATAGTGCTTTACTCACTCAGCCAAAGCGAAGCTTGTCTTCTATACCATTTTTATAGCTCAGTAGAATAGCATTAACGATAGAGAAAAGCGGATGTCGCTAAGGCGCATGAGCTGTCGCCCAGTGATGGCGTCCTGAGAGAATCTCAGTTAATGTCAGTATAGGTTTATTCGGTAAGTGCCACAGGGACTGAGGGACTCAGTTTGTTCCCTGCGGTATTACACCATAGAGTCAGCATTTTCATAAGGAGAGTTCAGTGGGTTCACTGCAAAGTATATATATATATATATATATATATATATATATATATACAGTCGATTCCGGTTAATCGGACCACATCGGGACCAGACCATTTTGGTCCCATTAAGCGGCTGGTCCGATTAACCGAAGTTATCCGATGTAACAAGATGGGACGTGCTATACATAACATAGGAAACTACTTTTATGACCTATATTGGCGGCATATATTTATGGCAAACACACAAAAAAGAACTGCTTTGATAACGAACTTTGTTCACTGGAAAAGAAATTTACAAACAAATTCTTCGTAACGACCTACAAGATATTCAGCATGCGAAGTACAGTTTTATACAAAGGGATTACCGAATTCCATTCAGCGTTTGAAGACCGTATCCAGTGTGGTTTGACGCATTCTTTTAACAGACTGCATTCGCATAAAATCACCACAAGCATGTAACGCAGTAATAGGACTACCATCATTTCCTTCCTGCATGAAATAGCGGTGCAATGTTTCAATGCATTTCCTTGCATCCTGTGTTGTGACTGGCATCAAGACGTTAGGGTTCTCTTCATCACTTCCATGGTCTTCTGTTGCTGTCCTGTGTTTCGCTGCTATTCGAGCAACAATGGCAGCATCGCATTCTTCATTTCCATCATAGAGTTGAAGTTCGTTGTCGATTGACAAAAATTCTTCGTAATTTTCAACATGTTTCAGCTCCACATTCTCGCCGTCATGTTCATTTACAACCACCATATCCACATCTATCTCCGAGACAATATCCTTAAAGCCACAGTGAGAAAAACAGTTCCGAATTGTCGCACTGCTCATTTTTCGCCAACTTTCGGCCACGAATGTAATGGCGTGCAAAATGTTGACCTTTGCACTGATTTCTCCGGCCGTCGAGGATGAGGTCAGCAAGCCTTCCTCAATTGATTCAAGGATGTAATTCACCAACCTTGAACGATAAAAGGTCTTCAAATTTTTTATGATACCCATGTCCATTGGCTGTATCAAAGATGTGGTCTTGGGAGGCAGAAATTCCATCTGGATATTCTTCAAGAAATCCAAATTTGAATGTGCTGCACAATTTTCTAGAAGTAATAAGACTTTTCTCGACTGGCGTTGTAGCTCTGTGTCCCAATCCTTCACCCATTCTTTAAAAAGTGTGGAGCTCATCCATGCATTTCTGTTCGCACGATACACAACTGGTAAACTGTCCATTCTGAGTCTCTTAAAGCAGCGAGGCTTGGCACATTTTCCTATAACCAGCAACTTCCTCTTGTCTGTTCCGGACATGTTTGAGCAGCACAAGACAGTTACGCGATCCATTGCTTTTTTGCAGCCAGAGAGAGTAACATGTTTGAAAATTAAGGAGCCGTCCGGCGTAGCCCTATAGTACAACCCGGTTTCATCAGCATTATAGATGTCATCTGCTGGAAATTTTTCAAGAAGCTCTGGTAGTTTTGTTGATTTCCATTCTTCAGCTCGAGCGCTATTGGCACTTTCTTTCTCACCATGTGCTTTCTTAAATTTTACATCATATCTAGATTTCCATCGAGACAACCAGCCGTCCGTAGCTATAAAATCTTCGTGGCCCAGCATTTTAGCGAGTTCTTCTGCTTTGTACTTTAACATCGGGCCACTTACTCGCACGGCTCGTCCAGTAACAAAGGCAAACCAATCATTAAGGGCCTCATCGACGTCTGGATCCTTGCCCTCACGCTTCCGTTTTTGGGAAGTACCTCGTCGTCCTTCACATTGTGCCCATTCTTCTCGCAGATCTTTCTCTTGTTTTATCAGGCGCGATATTGTAGATTTTGCCAAGCAGGTAATTTCCACCAATCGACGCTGACTAGTGGTTGGTCCCTGTTCCTTGATCTGATCTAGGAAACGAATTTTCTCAGCTAACGTCAAGTCCCGTCGTGACATTTTTTAACATGCAACAAGACACGCACAGTTCACTGAGGTGAACTCGGGTCTGTCTCCCGGGTATTTCTATGGTTGACCTATCCACCTGCTGTCCTATGATTTACCGGACCTGTGTGTCCGCGATCACTTGCCGTGCTCGAGAGTAGGCCCGCAATGCGGGCTCAGGGCATTCGGCTCAATAGCCGTGCGGTACATCGATCGAGCGGTTAACGACATGTGAACAAACATGTATGTCTTCGCTCCGCCTACAAGTGTTGGAAACTACAGTCAGTTTCGGGCGGTTCTGAAGCCAATCATATAGATGTGCCTCAAGGTTGCCACAGTTCAGTTTATCCAAAGGCAAACTCGGATTGCCGTAACTGAATGATACGCTTTCTTGCCCGACATATGAGCTGTGGGTTTAGTCCAGACATCCAGGCACAGAACTTGATTTTAACACCTCTGTTACCTGCCACAATCTATCGTCTAGTCCGATTAAGCGGAATTCTGGTCCTAATAAGCGGCTAAAATTAGGTTAGCGTAATAGGATTCGTTTCGGTTCTTCAGAATTTGGCCCGAATAAGCGGCTGGTCCTATTAACCGGTGGTCCGATTAACCGGAATCGACTATATATATATATATATATATATATATATATATATATATATATATATATATATATATATATATATATATATATCATTGTGTCTCCTTCCCTTTCGCCCTCATGGAACACCATTTCGTTTTTGCTTTTAACATATCAGCTTAGCACAGCAATGTTTCGCACTTTCTGTGTGCACCGAACTGTCCACTCTCTTAATTGCGTGAGATCCTGAGCTTTTCAGTTGATCATTCACATCCGAAACTGCACTGAGTGTCTGTCTCTCTGCTCATGCAAACTCGTCAGTAGTACACACTACCATGGCTCGTTGAGAAGCCGCAAATTGTGGTCTTACTTTTGCAGGCTAACACTTGGGCTTCTGTGCCGCCTCACCAAGAATCTATGTGGTCGCAAATTGCTGCATCTGATCTGTTCTCATTATCGTGATGAATGTAGAGACAACCTTTAAACAGTTGCCCGTTTTGGGCCACCTTATGGAATGGGAGCAGTCACTCTTAAAACAACGGACACTCGCACTGTTCATGTGTACTACCTACCAAAAATCCACACATCTGACCTACCTTTTATTCCCATACTGTCCGTGACTAATTCCCATGTCACGAACTGGTCAGTGGGTTAGTTGAAATACTTGCATCAGTGAAGCAGGTGCTCGTGAAAGACCTTCGCATAGATCGAACACACGCAGCGTATGAACATTGCCGATAAGTCTATGTGTTTTCTGGATGTTCGATCACTTTTTACTGAAGTCACGTTAAGGAATACGGTGGAATACTTACGTAATCTGGTGACAGAGACGAAAGCTGCCTTCCCGATACCTGTCAAATATCTGAATGATTTAATTATGTTATGCACGGTGAGTGTTTATTTGTTGTTTGAATATGCGTTTGATCGGGAATCCTACCAACAGTTGGACTGGGTTTCTATGGAAAGTCCACTCGACCTTACGCAATGTTCGAATCACAATGTGGATCTCACCTCGATCAGATGTGCTTGTGCAAACGGTACGTTTACGACAATTCGGTGATTTCCCCAAACATCTCGGGGCGATGAGCGAAGAACACTCGAATGCCATTTTACATGTGAGCTAGAGAGCAACAACTCCTTTTTGGATGGACTATTGACAAGAATTGCAGGCTGCTCAATTCGGCGGTATATCTACCTAGAAATCACTTGGCAAGAATGTACGAACACAGTAGCTTCACACCTGTCCAGTCCGAACATTGCCTCGTCAAAATCCTGTTTCATCGAGCTCGTAGAATATGCAGCCTTGTGTGTTTATATTCTGAATTGCAATTTTTACACAGACGCTACGGTTGATGGTTACCGTACAGCCTTTATTACGATCCACGGCCGCCTGATGGATGGTCATATAAAACCCTATCGTGTCAATAATGTCCGCCTATATCCACTTACCATGCAAACAAAATGTCGTGACAAAGCAAGTTAAGCAATGTGTAATCATATCAATTGGATGGGCATTCAGTGCTACCAAACTGTGCCCTCTTTGGTCAATTAGCAAGTTATGAACGTCTCCGGTGAAGCTTACGCAACAGTACATCGCATTTACCACTTTGTCTGTAGCTGCAAAGCAGTTACATCGGCCGAACCGATTAGTGTCAGCGTAAATGCATCGTGGGGCATATTCAGTAATGGGTTGCTGCTACTATGACAATTGAAATACGAGGATAGATGTCAAGCTCAAAAATCCAAATTTCATCGATTTCTAAACATCAACTATGTACAGGTCATCAAGTTGACCCGAACTTGACTTTTACAGTTATCGATCGCAAAACAAATGCCAAAATACTCCAAATCGCGGAGGTCGTGACTTTAAGCCCAATCCTCTTGATCTTTGTATACAGAAACAGCTGGTTGTCACACTCAAGCGTCCTTGGGGATTGTGACCCTCTTTTAATATTTTGTGAATCGGCTGTGCCTTTCTTTCTGTTAGCATATAAGTCGTTTATTCTTTCATCCAGTGATCCTTTAGCACTTTGCTACTTTGAATGTGATATGAACTTGCAGCACACATCTTCTCATTGTATTGTTTAGAATGATGCAAGAAACACTGAATGTTGGTCAACTTCCTTGCGTAACAGTTACGGTGCACGCCAAACAGTATTCTTTTCTGAGCTCCTTGTTGATGAAAGATGATGCTGTTATCGTTTTATATATCATCAACGACAAACCGTCCACCATATAGATTTATCGACTGAGTTGAGCACGGCTGAATAAGCTGTCTTTCACGTGCCACTCTAACCGATGCTCTCCGTATATCTTTCCACAGGTGGTCACTGCGCACCATGCATCTATCAGTTGGACTGACTTGTTTTTGGGTTTACTAATGTGCCAAGAGTAAGATTCGAGTCATGATACTCACACGTCACTGTGCCACTTCACCAGGCAGATAGACCGTTTTATTGGATGGGCTTAATGCACTCTATGGTAACATGATCAAGAGTGCACTTCTCTCGCATTTACAACTAGATACTTTATTGCACACCGTATTCCTTCACTTTCATGTACTCTAGATGCTGGTTTGTGACCAATTTCCCGTTCTCATCACGTTCAGGTTTTCTGTTTACTACTTTTTTCTATAGCAGCACTTTGCATCCCGTTTCTCTTCAATCCCATTGTGTGTGTGGTTCTGTTCTCTGCCTACCCGATTCACATCTAATCGCTTTGAAAACAGTTCCATGATAGAGATCTGCAGTTGTCATTCCGCAAACACGCCCATTGTCCACAGAACGTTTTCGCATAATTTATCCCCCGTTTAGTTTTACATCGCAGAAAATTTTGTTCACACAGCTCTTCAAGAACTCAGCCGGTTATCTGATGTATTTGTTCCATTAACACTGCCACCGACTGATTTTTTGCCATTTTCCTGCCCCATTCAATGGAGGCCAAAGTGAAATTCCGACTACCTGAAAGTTGCCCATTTTTCCAATTAACCGCACACTAAACTTGCCGCTGTGCGCTACTTGCTGTGGTCCACATCTGTTAGACTGATCGATCGCGCGCACACTGTTAATTTATTGATTGATATAATAGTAAGGTCATCAGTTGCCCTCCAACTTACAGAAGGACGGTGTTTTCATACATACTGCTCAGCTGTATGCAGTTGGTTAAGTACACGACACTTTCACGGTTAACCATATTTTGTTTATGTTACCAAGAACGTATATGTTTCTCCTGGTTACACAAGTCTCCGGAGTTTCAGCCCCCGTTTGCAGGGAGCATTCCTTATCTTAAACTTCCCAAACTCTTACCGCGAACATCCACCTTTTATTCAGCCATTCATTGTACTCCACCATTATATCACTAATGTTTTCATAATGGCACCTAAAGTACCTGCTGGCGATAGTTCTACCGAGTGTGTTTCTTGGTAGCAATTTCTGCTGCAGGTCCCTCAATGCACTTACCCAGTGGTTCTTTTACTACCAGACTCATTCATTAGGCAAGGTAGTCATGAAGGTGATCCCACTAACCTCGAGGTAACTTTATCACGTTGCTATCACTTCTCTTGCTGAAATGCACCTACACATTACACACTGGGATAGCTCTGATGGCACAACCATTCCTTTTACCAACTGAATTCTTATATTTCCTAAAGTACTGGTAAGTTACGCGACTTACCCACCACACTCCTCATTGGTCACCTCACACGACATCTGGTTCGGTCTTCCTCGGGGATGGTCACCTGGCTGTCTGAAACAGTGTTTCCATCATGCATCGGTCCAACCTGAATACTTTGGGTCTCGTTGTGCTCAATACCTCGAGGGTACAATATATGAGGTGCAGATACTTGACGATATGGTATCTACTTTCCCATAGACTCATATCGGTAGCTGGGAGTCAATTATCACATTGTCGCGTGGCACTCTTGGTAAAACTGCGCAAAGCAATCGTGTACAGTGAATTTGAGCTAAGTATATTTCTCAGTTGTGCCAGTTACAGTCCAAAACTTAGACTGATGGCATGATACAACATGTTATTTCAGATTTCTCGAAAGAGTTCACAATCAGGTATATGGGGAGTTCGATTGGTCTAAATGGTAAACACGAAGAGTCTAAAGGATGGATGAAAATGATTATCGAAAAAGTGTAATAGAATTAATACGGCTAACCGTGGAACCGACTCCCACAAGCGAACATCCATTGCGTGGCCCAAGCTAACGAAATCATCATTTCGTTAGTCAGCTTGCAGTTTCGTATACACATAGTGACCGTTTGAATTCACCAATATCACCATAACATCGTGGTCTTTTGTTAACTTTATATAGGACAACAATGTTTTCTCTGTTCCGCTTTGCTTCTTACAGTCCGTGGCGATTCTCAAGGCATGGCAGTGAGGGTTCATTGGTTCATATCTGCCCCAGCTGCCATTCTATCATGAAATCCAGAGCAGCTTATGAAGACGGCGACAGCGACGACGGCTGCATACTTTCGACTCACATTACCGAAAGAATATACACTTGTGAGCGCAATCGGAATGATAATCTTAGCTCTTCTCACAGCCACATGCGCGCGAGGTGCGGTCAGCCTGGCGACAGTTTGCCCGATCCTCTCAGGTATCATCATTCCTCTACGCAGTTCCGCCCGTCTGACCCAAGCCCGACTCGGCGCGAAATTCCAATTCAGTTTATGAATGGAAATTCATCATCCTATGTTCAAGAACAATCTCACCGCGAACGATTTTCCCATGATCGTGTCCTTCCGGTCGCTGCTACTCGGACGAGAAATCTTCCCGTGTCAACGCCCATTTCTGCACCGGCAGATCCTCAGTTCAGTACTGTCGAAAGTTCCGACGGTGAGGTGAACCAGTAGAGCGTTCCGCGAACTTCTTACTGGCCTGTCCCTTCGCGTAGATCGCTTTATATCCCACTTTCTTGACTAACATCTGTAAATTCGCGAACATTTCCTCGCGGTTTTCGTCTAACTTGCTACCGTCCTACATATCATTGCTTTCTTCGATGTTTACTTTTCATGTTTTTACACACTGTCTTTTATTAGTAACGAAAATGATTCTACTTGCAAAACCTCTTTTACTTCATGTATTATGAGGGTCAACTGGATAATTTGTCAAGCGAGTCAGGAGGAACGCAACCGGTAGCACTTTTGCGGGCATGTTCGGTTGACGTCAGTCGCGAGATGCGTTGGGAAAGAGTTAGTTTCTAATCGGACTTATCACTGTCGATCGCCCTTAACAAGAAGGAATAAGGAGTATTATTGTCATTCGTTTAAATGCTTCTCCTTCGTCAATACTCTCGCGATTGTTCCATCGGCTATGCTTAAATAATATAGAAATTACCCGATTATGGCAATGAGTGCCCATACGATTGAGAAACGTTTTCAGAAAACGTAGTGGGTGATTCTCTCATCCGGAATACCGACATTACCCAGATCGATTTGATTGTGCACATCGGGATTATAGCGCTAAAACTTGTTTACCGACACTCCGGTGCCTGTTTGGCCAAATTACAGACAATTTGAGGCTCACCGGTGATTCGTAGTTCGATTTAATGCGTATACTGTGATATCGGGAAAGCTAGAATGATTCGTTGCATTGTCAGAGTTGAATCAGCTGAACTCCAGTAAAGCCCAGAGTCCGGAAAACTCAAAGGTAGACGGCGTCCCGGAATTGTGCACCAAAAGCAGGCAAGGAGCATGTTACGAGTTACCTGCGCCACCGATGTAGGTTGGTATGCACAGAGTTGAAATGTCCCCTCCAAACCCATGAAATTAACGTTCCTTGTATATAACGGCACATCGTTCTCGTTGCCTGGCCCAAGAAAACAATACGCCTGTGGAATTTTCGCCTCATCTTAAATCGCACACGTTTCACCAGTTGATAGTAGTGTGTTTTTGGCCGGATTATTTTGTCGCGCGTGGTGTTCGCTTCACCGTTGCCCTTCAATAACCGGTATCGCATGTTCTGGCATAGAGCAGTGCATCAGTCTGGAACACCTTGCGGCCATATTAACTGACGACAGAGTATTTTCATCAGTGGACCTCAAAAACCCGCGGTATTACAGATGGCGGAGATGGCTATATGTCAGTAAGGCTTCTATGAAATATAAGTTAAGGAATTACTTCCGTAGTAACAAGCACGCATGAAGCTTATCTAAACATTGACACCGTGACTCAATCTACAACAAGATGAAACCGCTTGAAGCATTCAAAACAATTTTAAAGCAGTTTCCCTTAACCATTTAAAAATCAGTGAGAAGACAAAAATCGGAAAATGCATGCATTTCCTATTGTCTCTTCAGTGCCGAAAACGATAACTGGAATTGAAATACAACGCAAGTGATGCAAACCAACGAACGGAAAATATGAGAATCAAGTCTCCATGTCCAAGGCAACCTGAGGCTAACGGAGAGTTGCTTTGAACGCAAAGCTCCAGTTTATCGCAACAGCCTCGGAAGCGGAGCAGGCGGGAATTGGTATGCCGCAGCAGAACTTTGAACGGCGTGCTGACCTCGATCCAGTGCCACGCGATCAATAAAGGCCTGCCGATCGATGACGGCGGCCTGTGTGAATGGGTAGCTGGAGCTGGCTCGTGTTGGAGCCACTTCGGAACGTGCTTCTCCATCCGAGTACTCGAGGTCCTATCGGTTCTCCCTATTTAACTAGTCCGCAGTTACTTACGAATTGGTACACACAATGGGAGTTGGCCCAATAGGCTGAGTTCCGTTCAGTGGAGGCAGCGGCAACTTATGGGTTCGGTCGATGATGTTTACTTTGGCGCTCTGCGTGACCGCGATTGATCGTCTAGCAGTCCTCATTGTGGCAGTGTCACCCTTAAAGGGGAGCTCTATGAATATGCCCTTTTTATGCACGGTGGGCACTAGCTCTTTAGCTTCGCTGATTTGACTATGCTTTTTGATGAACCTACGAGGGTATCCATTTGCAATTAGCGCGTTAGTAATCAATTCCACTTCGTCGGCCAGGCAATCGGTCGAACATATTCGTCTGGTACGACTAAATAAGGCCTTCACCAGCGTCCGTTTGTACTGCATTGGTGTAAAGCTGGAAAATGCAGGTACCTACCGGACCATGTGGCTTTTCCGTAGTAGGCCCTTTTAACCTGTCCGTTTTCTCTGCGACTGATGAGAACATTCAAATAAGGGAGGTTCTGCTGCTCAACTTCGCAAGAGACCCTGAGGTTTATATGCGCAGCATTTTGAAGCGTCATGACCTGTGTGATCTGTTCAGATGAGCAATACGATAGGATATCGTCCACATATCTTTTATAATATGCTACTGAGCTATTTCTGCAGATATTCTACGTTATATCGTCAGCGTTAAGAAATATGCTAGTATAGGGCCTAGGTGGCTGCCCCATCAATCTGACGGTACGGTGTGTTTCGGAAGTGAAATTAAACGTTTTCCGTACACAGTTGCAACGATGATTTTAATAACTGAACCCGTATGGGTAGCGAACATCCGGAACTTTCTGCTAATTCACAAACGTAGTCAACAGTTTGTTGCAGCGGGACGTTAGTAATCAACAATTCTACATCCAAGGAACACATCACTTCATCGGACAGGTGCATTTTGTCGATGTCATTTAGTAGTTCAAACGAGTCTCTGATGCCGTAGGGATCAAATCCTTCTCTTAAGGCGGAGAGCGCTATCACCAACCAGCGAGCTAGTTTATGTTGTAGCGCATTTACCATTGGGAGGATTGGTGTGCGTGGGACTTCGTTCTTATATGTGTTTTTGGTAGACTATACAGTTGCGGTGTAATTTAGCCACTCGGTTTTAAGCTGTCGTAAGTTGCATCGTCGATTACATGATACTGAAAGAGCCTTTCTAGATGGCGAATACTGCAAGTTTCAAACACAGTCAACTCCAGCGCTTTCTCAACTCGTTTAAACTTACTTGGATCATTCAGTATAACATTCATCATCTTGATGTACTCCTCTTTATTCATAACTACCACTCCGGACCCCTTGTCGGGCCTCATTACAAGTACATCTTTAGCACGCTGCTCGCGTAGCGCCCGCATATGCCGATTCTTCAGCGCACACTTTTCTTTTATCGGCATACTTTTACTTCATACGAAATACGGTAGCTTGTTTCTAAACCGTATAAGCTTATGCATACTAGCTGGTTGAAGCTCCTTTACCTGATCAAACATTCTCAAACTAAGCTTCAACAAACAACATGTTAATTTGTTCAGGAGGCACCTTGTAATCCGACCCGAAGGATGTTTCCAACTGTAGAGCATCGAGCTGCACATTTGACAAGTTCACTACACACTGGGGTCCCGAGTACCTGTTTCATATTTGGTGTCCACTAACAATTTTTTGAGCTGAGCTAGCTCATATGCTTCTAAATGCTGCGCATACAAACCTGGGGGTCTCTTGCGAAGTTGAGCTGCAGAACCTCCCTTATTTGAATGTTCTCATCAGTCGCAGAGAAAATGGACAGGTTAAGAAGGCCTTCTACGGATAAGCCACATGGTCCGGTAAGTACCTGCATTTTCCAGCTTTACACCAATGCAGTACAAACGGACGCTGGTGAAGACCTTATTTAGTAGTGCCGGACGAATATGTTCGACCGATTGCCTGGCCGACGACGTTCAAAGTTCTGCTGCGGCATACCAATTCCCGTCTGCTCCGCTTCGCTGAGGCTGTTGCGACAAACTGGAGCTTTGGTTTCAAAGCAACTATCCCTTAACCTCAGGTTGCCTTGGACATGGAGACCTGATTCTCATATTTTCCGTTCGTTTGTTTGCATCACTTGCGTTGTATTTCAATTCCAGTTATCGTTTTCGGCACTGAAGAGACAATAGGAAATGCATGCATTTTCCGATCTTTGTCTTCTCGCTGTTGTTTTTTAATGAATTTTGTTCTGTACCATACATTTCAATTTGGCCGCAACTTTTGGCTACACTTTTTCCGTATTAACTTTATTGTCAGATTGGTCCCTGGAGCTGCGTATCTTCTTCCGAAGACTTGGAATATATGAACATTTAGGGTTTTTCGGTCACATCTTTCCAAAATGGTTAAGTGATTTCACCTTGTGTGAGTCTCATCTTTCTGAAATATTCACTTAGTCCGCTCTTTGGGAAACACCAGTTTTCCCAAGATATACACAGAAACCACTGAAATGTGGATTTATTACCACCCGTTTATCTCATTTTAAACCGACACGTGTACATCTGTTCCCACCTCAGACCCGAACCGTAATTGACCACTCTCACATGGCCGTTCGTAGACCTATTAATAACCACGTGTTTTATTGATGGACGCCTGTCATCAGAATAGATCTCTTCCGGTGGTCTTGCCTTTCTGGGGTTAGGGCTATCGATTGGAAGCGCAATCTGCATTACGTATGCGATCTTAGTTGTGTTCCTTTAATGCGCTTGACGGTGCATGTTTGTGTTCCTACTGAATTGCGATAGTGGCTGTTGGATTCTCACAACTTGGCGACGAGGTCTCCTTACTAGTGAGTATCGACAGTCCTGATATCGGGCTGATCCTGCAGTAGCAGGTGAGGCTAGTGATGTTGACTACCGAACGTTTGTTCATGCCCTCACTAGGACAGTGTGCAAAATTCTCTATCTTTGAGTCCAGTGAATAATCTGCCAACAGCTTCACAGAATTTTTGTGTGATTCTGCAACCGAGGTAACCTTTGAATCCTGGTTCAAGCGATGCATGGAAAGTTCGTCTTCCGTTCCGCAAACTGGTTTCCGCCAAGCACGACAACTATTACAGTTTCTTCTTACCACCGAAGCCACGCGATCGGCCATTCGAAGAGACAATGAAAACACATACAAATGTTCGGTATGAAGTCATTCATTTTCAATATCCTTTACCAGTGTCCCAAACTTGCGCAACGTGACAACAGTGTGAACCATTCAAACCACGCCATCTCTCATACGACCAGTTTAAATACTTCGTGTTCATAAGCGGTCTACAGTCACTAAATGATACCGATATACGTACGCGGCTCTTAAGCAAAGTTGTACAGTTTCATCAGATTACGCTGTAGAGTTTCACTACTGAATGCCAGCGCTTAGTTAAT